GCGTGGTGGCATGTGCCTGTAATCCCAGCTACTCCAGAGGCTGAGATAGGAGAATCACTTGAGCCCTGGAGGCGGAGGTTGCAGTGAGCCAAGACTGTGCCATTGCACTCTAGCCAGGGCTAGAAAAAAAAAAAGAAATTGTGAGAAGGAAGCCAATAAAGAATCCTTATAATTTAACCTAGTTTTAGTTGAAGTTTCGGTTTTGTTTTTGCTTTTGTTATTTGCAACAGGAATATTCTTACTGATATGCGGAATGCCTGCTATGCTGATTTTTTGCCTATTATATCTTTTGACTCCAACAAACTAAATATACTCCTTTAAGTAATTGCAGATTCTATTTGTTTCTTGTATATATGTGTGGGTCAAATCATATATAGGTTTTAGAGCAGAAGACTTAATGGACAGTAGTGTTAATTTCAGTTTGGAGTCCTCTTGAATGAATCCCTTCATTTGTCCTTTTTTATTTCCTAGTCAGGGTCTTATGTGTAATGCCATACTTTTTCGTCTAAATTAAATCTTATTCTGAGTTTTTGCTTACCAAGGTAAGCAGAGAGTCCAATATTAATAATATTTCAAATCACCTTTTCTATCACCAAGGTTTTGCAGAAGTTCCAGGGCTACACATACTGAAAAGACTCCTTCAGCTTGTTTTTACTTCTCTACCCCTTCTCCTACTGCTACTTCAGTAATGGTTTTCTACCACTTGGGCACAATGACTCTGAGGTGCCTGGGATCTACTCAAGTCATTGTGTGCCTAATAGAGGTGGGTGGCTGCCCTACTGGCACCATTCCCCTGGGACTAGCTTAGGTTGATAACTCAGACTTCCAAAGCCATGTGTATTAGTCTGTTCTCATGCTGCTAATAAAGACTTGCCTAAGACTAGGTAATTTATAAAGGAAAGAGATTTAATCGACTCACAATTCCGCATGACTGGGAAGGCCTCACAATCATGGCAGAAGGCAAAGGAGGAGCAAAGTCACATCTTGCATGGTGGCAGGCAAGAGAGAGCTTGTGTAGAGGAATTCCCATTAATAAAACCGTCAGCTGTCATGAGACTTACACACTACCACAAGAACAGCACAGGAAAGATTCGCCTCCATGATTCAATTACCTCTCACTGGGACCTCCTACAACACTTGGGAATTATTACAATTCAAGGTGAGATTTGAGTGGGGACACAGAGCCAAAATGTGTCATCATGACCCTTGATACCTTGGCCTTCACCAATATCCATGTGGTCATCCCCAAATGAGGCTCTGCCACCTTGGAGACCTAAATCCTTGTATTCTTTGTGAACCCAGAAGCCCTCGGTCTATCTGAACCCTGCTTTAACAATCTTCCAGAGGTAGAGCTCCCCACATCTCCTACCTGGAAACACAAACACTTCTCCTCCTCTGAGACTGTGTAGTGTATTTCTTTGCACAGGTCTCCATATGAAAATCACTCCTAAAGAAAAGGGACCTAGAACTCTCAATAAAAAAAGTCTGGCAGTGTGGTAGAAAGGAAAATCTTCTTTCCATTCTTTTGGTGAAGAGAACACAGCAGCAAAAAGGCCAAGAAACCGAGTAGTTTCTCCATAATTCTCCCTATCACAATTGTCTGCCTCTATTTTCCACAACATACATAGGTTCATTTTATATACACTTTTTTTTTGTTTGTTTTCGTTTTTTTTTTGAGACAGAGTTTTGCTCTTGTGGCCCACGCTGGAGCGCAATGGCGCGATCTTGGCTCACTGCAACCTCCAGCTCCCAGGTTCAAGCGATTCTCCTGCCTCAACCTCCCAAGTAGCTGGAATTACAGGCACGCGCCACCACGCCTGGCTAATTTGTTTTGTATTTTTAGTAGAAATGGGATTTCACCATGTTAGCCAGGTTGATCTCGAACTCCTGAACTCAGGTGATCCTCCCGCCTGGGCCTTCCAAAGTCCTGGGATTACAGGCATGAGCCACCATACCCGGCCCCTTACATACACATTTAAATGTGCTTTTATATCGTTAGAATTTTATGACATCTTAGTGTTCCTAAACCTACTGTATTTCCGGAAAACATTCTGAAGTTCTAGGCCATTTCATCTGACTTTAGCCAACATTCATAATCATCAATTTCTGTGCCCTCCCACCCTCTCCTTCTTCACATATGCAGGTTTGTGTCCCACGTTAATGCTTTTGATTGTTCTAAGCTATATTTTCTAATTTTTTGACTGTATTGAAGGTGACAGTCTATATACTGCAAGATGGATCTTATTAATAAAATAAATACACACTCAGATTTACAAATATTAGTATATCTGTGATTCAAATAATCATTTTTGACCATGTCAGAAATGTATCCCTCTTAGTGATGTTTTTCACTTCTATTGGCCTGTAAGGATTGTTGTCACTTGGTTGTCTCCTGAAACTCCTCTAAAAGAAAGTAATAAAATTCTGAATTCTTGGACCTATAGACCTATAGGAAAAGTGGCACATAATTTATCTTCCAAACAAGCATACTTAAGAAAGGAAGGGGTTACTATTAATACTTATGCAGGACAACAATTATAAACCACTACTGTCCCAGGCAAACCACATATATAGTCACCCTAAAGGGCAGAGACAATGTATTTCCATCTGACATCCTCAGGTAGTTCCAAGGTTCTTGGTCTGATTACATTGCATGGGAGAAGTCCTTTGTGAGAACAGTGAGCTGAGGGCAGTCCTTGTGTGTATATGTTTCTTAACATTTGAGGGTTGCTTATTGAGTTAACCTTTAAGTAGTTTATGGGAAATTTTTATAATACAATGCGACTCAACACTTGGGTCATACTAGTTCTGGACTTAATATTTTGCAGCACTTTTCTTGTTGTCTTTGAATGAATTTCAAGTCATGTTAACCTACCATTTTGTTCTAATGACACTAATGGCTGAAATTAGTGGTAGACGATGAGCTTGGCAATGACAGCATAAACGGTACTGCCACATCTCTCTTTTTGCTAACTTTGTATTATTTCCACCTGTGTACAGTTAGTCCACAAATGTTTTATTTGCAAAGCACTGTTAAATCACCAGCATTATTATTTGACTTTTAAAGTTTATTTGTTAGTGAATTTTTTTGACACACGCGTATGTTAAGAAAGAAATTCACATTTAAATCTTAAAGGAACTCTAATTGCCGGTCTTTGAAGTGCTTCATTATCAACTGCTGAATTAAATAAATAGGTCTTGGTCTAAAGCTGAAAGGACTTGCAGAAAAGGGACCCCTGAACAAAGAGTCCATGAGTCCAAAGTAAGGTCACAATTCCATTAAATACTCAAATGATAACTGACTTCAAGCACTGTCCTGCATTGCTTACAGTTGAATCTCCAGCACTTACAACTGTGTCTGGCATGTAATAGGCATGTATTAAATATTTGTTCAATGAATAAAAAAATATTCCTTATAGTGTAAGATATTTGTGGCACGTGATTTTACTCTCAAGCACTCTGTTGTTAATATGTTTTTACAATATTCTTGTCAGTATGTTGTGTGGAAGCTTGAAAATCCCTGGCTTTTCATAATCATTGATTAAATTAATCAGCAGGTTCTATGATCTTATAATTTATGGGGCTAGTATCATTTGTTTTAGTAGAAGGTTTTCCACATTCTTCTTTTAGTTATACAGTCACATTCTCCCTGACTTTCAGTTTTAACCTTTGCTTCTCTTGTGTAGGCCAAGAATCCATGGCATGATGTAATCAAATCTCTTCCCCCCCTTTTTTTAGCCTCCATCTAAAGTTTTAGCTAGGATAATGTTTCTGTTAGCCTGGTTTCCAAATGAAATCTAAAGTGCTATTTTCATAAAGGTGAGATATAAGGAAAAGTTCAATAGTGAAATCTTAAAAGAGTGTTTCTTCCTGTGCTCAGTGAGATATGTGAGAGATACTGTTTGTCCCTAGAGAGATAATTTCCAGGTAGAAATACATACATATATTTCATAACTGGCATATCATTAAAAAAGGGAATAGTAAGAAATTTTATTGTAAGATTCAGGTCTATTCTATTTTAATTGTAGTTCCTGTATGCACGTCATCTCCATTATTATTCTTAGGAAGAGAGATAAGTAAAATAGACACAGCTTATCTCGGGAGAAGCTAGGGTGACCTATGCTCACATCTTTCTTACTCCCAAGGTTTTTCACCTTCCTCATCTTTCAGGGTACTAGTGCCATCATTTCTCTTTACCATAAATCAAAACATTTCTCTGGTGGAATTATATTAGTAGTTTTTACTTTAGTGTTCATCTTAATATATGTTTCTTCCTTAAGGTGTTTGCATCTTAACATTCTCTCTAACATGAGCATTTGTCTTCATAAATGGAATTTTAGTCATCAGGGTGAAAATTATGTTTTGCCAGGAGCCACACCAAGCTTCATTAACACATACACTGTCACCTCTCATATGCACTTGTATTTGTACTTGTACAGGGTCATGGGTGTTAAGAGTGAGGCTAAGCTGCGTGTTTTATAACAGAGACTTAATTTTTTCTTTCAAGTTTTCATGTACCTTAAACAATTAGACTTGATAAGTAAGGTTGGCCTTGGTTTTATCATCTGGCCAGTATTGGGAATGGATCTTTAGAAGCAAAGGGAAATGATATGGGATTCATGCAACTTTACCATTTGTCTTAAGTAGTTTCAGTGTGAACCAAAAACATATTTGTAAAATAAAAAGTAGCAGCTAAGTAGGGCTGTAGTTCATCTTGTTTTCATGCTAGCATAATGTACTATCTCTGAACACTAGATTCTTGGATTAGTACTATTTACTCTAGGATGATATGTGATATGAGGATCGTCTTGGACTTTATTTATGATCATTTATTTACAAAAGAGCAAAAAGAACATTGTATTGTGGCTTTACTCATAAGGCAGTCCTATGGCAAAGACTTCAGAATATAATGAGACAATAGAGATTCATAAAAATAAAGCAAAGATCCATGAATTTTGAGTTACAATGTACATTAATATTTAATAATATTTGTATTTCAGGTCAGTTGCTCCGATTAAAAATGTTTCGAGAGGATCATGGGTCATGGATGACAATGTTCTTCAGCACAATTCTCTTTCTCTTCATATTTTCTCACATATACAACACGATTCTTCTGATGGATGGAAACATGGGGTAGGTTATATTTCCCCTTTCTACTGTGGTGAGTGTTGTGTTTGAAACTCAAAATAATTTAAGAATTTTTTAGCTTATAGTAGTCTGTCTGCTTTACAAATATTCTGCCCTAAGAAGAAGGAGTATTTTGTGTATTTTTCTTAACTAAGACATTAAAGTTTTTTTTTTTTTCCAGGAAGCGTATACTGCATTACAATATTTAGATTTTGTTCTTTATCCTTTAGGACTTTTGTATAGGGTGGTGGGAGGGCAGGTACTAATTTCATTATACTGACAAGCGGGTATAAGACTCAGGAAATCTTATTGATTTGCATATATTCAAATGATTCATAGAGTGGGGCTAAGATGAAGGTTTCCAGGTTTGCAATTTCATTGGTCTGCAATGCCTGGCTAAATAAAAGTGTTTGGTACAGGAGGCATTTTCTTTAACTCTCTTGACAGTCCTGTGAGAGAGAGACTTTTGTTATTAATAGGTTGTTTTAAAAGTGGGCCACAGCTGGGCGTGGTGGCTTATGCTTGTAATCCTAGCACTTTGGGAGGCTGAAGTGGGCAGATCACAAGGTCAGGAGATCGAGAACATCCTGGCCAACGTGATGAAACTCCATCTCTACTAAAAATACAAAGATTAGCTAGGTGTGGTGGTGTGGGCCTCTAGTCCCAGCTACTTGGGAGGCTGAGGCAGGAGAATCGCTTGAACCCGGGAAGCAGAGGTTGCAGTGAGCCAAGATTGTGCCACTGCACTCTAGCCTGGCAACAAAGCAAGACTCCTTCTCAAAAAAAAAAAAAAAAAATTAAGTGGGCCACCCTGTATTAACTCCTAGCTTGTGATATATACTTATCAAATCAGTAAGGCATGAAGATGTGCTAACAAGTAGTTGTATAATTTTTCTAAGTTTCTTCACTTCTTTCTTTCATCATATAATGAAACACAAGGATTGATCTTTTAGTATAATTTCCTCTTGGTTTGTTCTCAGTAACTTTGTTTGTTTGTTTTGTTTTGTTTCTGTTTTTTTTTGACGGAATCTCGCTGTTGTCGGTCAGGGCTGGGGTGCAATGATGCGATTTTGGCTCACTCACTGCAACCTCTGCCTCCCGGGTTACAGCAGTTCTCCTACTCAGCCTCCCAAGTAGCTGAGATTATAGGTGCCTGCAACCACGCCTGGCTAATTTTTGTATTTTTTAGTAGAGATGGGATTTCACTGTGTTGGTCAGGCTGGTCTTGAACTCCTGACTTCAGGTGATCCATCTGCCTTGGCCTCCCAAAGTGCTGGGATTACAGGCGTGAGCCACTGCGTCTGGCCTGCTCTCCGTAAGTTTTGAGGCCAGAATATAAGGAGATTGGCTTAGTATTAAAATTAGATTTGTGACAATAATAAACCACTTTAGGTATTTGTTGTGTGTTGAAATAGTTACTGAGAAAGATTTTGATCTGTTTTCCCCAATAGATCAGAAAGCTAGGTAATATCCTTTTCTTCTAAATGTAGGCTAGGCAGGATTGTTGTCCAGTTCCATGGGAAACAGGGAACTGTTTTGATGTTACATATAGATTTTGGCCACCATTGTTCAGTACTGAGAGGGAAGCTCATTTAGAATTTCATTGTTTTTCCCTCACTAAAGGAGATGAATAGCAAAGGGAAAAATACATTCACATGTTTCATATTTTAGTTTATACTAACAAGTGATAAATTCAAGAATGTGATTTGAGAGAAAATGTTCAGGCTCTAGAAAGTTATTAAAATACTTTGTAATTATTTCTTGGACTTAGAATGATAGTTTTAATAACACGTCTATTTTGAAGGCTCTCACCTATGGCTCGTCAGAATATGTCTCAGCCTTGGAGCAGTGCCTGTAATACTAGAATGGGTAGTGGTTGGAGTTACCTAACACAGCCAAAGGTTTCTCTGTGAGTTTTTTTGTACTCAAAGCACTGAGAGCAGAAGGAGAAGGAACCTATGTGAAAACTACATTTTAAAAGCAATTGCTGGAAATAATACATGATATAATATATAAAATATATCTTTTGCTAAGAAGCTGACTTTTGATATAATTCTGCTTGTTTTTTTATCTGGAGCTAATGAGGCCTGTGCTAACTGGAAATGCTTATTTTGAGGAAGGGAACAGATTTGAAATAAATAAATTAAATGCAATAAATAATTCCTTGTACTCTATAAAGCACTCAATAGCTGGAAATAAAAAGAGAGCTAATAGTTGTTGAGCATTTACACCAGGCATGAATTATCTCAATTACATCTCTCAATTACTCCGTGGAATAGGAGTTATTATCTCCATTTTGCAGATCAAGAAACCGAGGACTAGAGAGGTTTTGCCACTTTATTGTTTAAAGAACACAGGTCTGATTGATGGTTGACCCTGTTACTCATTCACCAGATGTCTATTAGCCTTTCTCTGTATTTTGTTATTCAAGCAGAATTCGACAATTGAAAGAAGCAGGAGGTATGCTTAGGAAATAAGAGAATAGTTAGCCTACAGTTTATGTGTAGCCTAACTAAAATTGAAAGTGGTCTTTTTTATTCTCAGACTAAATACAGTCTTACAGAGTTTTATGTAACTGTTGAACTCTTCATCATTATGCCTCATCTTCATAGGAAAACATCTTTTACTGAGAGGATATATTAAAGGTGCCACATTTTAGAAAAATTCATAGCAAGGGACAAATGGTTTAATTCTGCAGAAAAAATAAATCAAGGCTGAGCATGGTGACTTATGCCTATAATCCCAGTGCTTTGGGAGGCTGAGGCAGCAGGATCATTTAAGGCTAGAAGTTTGAGACCAGTCTGGGCAACAGAGACTTTGTCTCTTACAGAAAATAAAAAACTTAGCTGGGGGTGATGGCACGCCCTGTAGTCCTAGCTACTTGGAAAGCTAAGGCAGGAGGATTGCTTGAGCTTGGGATTTCCAGGTTACAGTGAGTTATGATTGTGTCACTACACTCCAGCCTAGGTGAAACAATAAGACTCTGCCTCTGAAAAGAAAAATAAAAAATAAAAATTAAATCACCATTTATAAAAGATGTATTATTAACTTTTATGACACGCATCATTTGATCAAGTGAGCACATTGCAATAGGAGTGTAAACTTGGAGGAAAATCAGTTCTTAGAGCAATTGGATACAACTGTGCTATTGGGGTTGTCCTAGTACACACCAGGTTTTCTGAGGTATTGCTTCATCCCATGTAGCACAGGGAATAATGGAGCCAGAGAGTGCAGTAAGGACAGTGGGCACACAGACATGACAAATAACTGGTTTTATATCAGAGGATTCCTGGTACTAGAGAGGAATTCAGGATTCTTTACACTGAATCTCATTTGCATTACACTGAATTTGTGGGGAGTCCAATGTTTCTTTGTTTATGAGTCTCTCTAGGAATATTGGCCTAGAATTATTTCCAAAAGGGTTTCAAGAATTTCCTATGATGGCTAGATCTGTGTTAATGTATTTTAGGATTCCTTTCCAAACTGGAGGAGTTCAGGACTAGAATGAATGATGAGTGACTGTAGGGTTTCCAAGGGGAAGAAGGAGTTTTCTTAGACTGGTCTGCGTTTTTTGTGCAGGTGTGCCAATTTTAGGAATGGGTATAAATTTAATCTAAGCTGGGGTCTCATGATCTCTCACTATAGAGAAAAAAATCCCTAGGTTTATCTAGACCAGAACTTCAAGAGTTTTTAGCCCAGAGTTGCCTGGCTCCTGTTTTCCTCATTACAGTGGATTCCCTGCAGTATGCACTAACTCTTATGGCTTTAGACATCTCTAGGGAGCCAAGCTGAAAGGCAGTCAGATGGAGAGGGAAAGAGGTAAGTTAGCTGGTTGAGCTAAAAAGGATCAAGACTCGAACAATCCGTATTTGTAGCACCACGAGGAAAAAACTTGTCCCAAATTTGACTCTCTTTCTGCACCTCAGTTCCTTACACCACTAAAGTGCTTCTTATTGTAACCTCATTTATTCTTTAAGTCACCAAGATGTAACTAAACTCATCATTTTATAAATGTTGAGGGTTCTGCGTGGAGAAGGTGCTGATCCTGGGCATAGTTTTGCATCTAGCCATTTTATGAGGAACTTCTTTTTTTTTTTTTTTTTTACAAGGTGGCAGACTAGGTAACCTGAAGCCTTGCCTACTACAAAATCTTTAGAACAGCTGGAAGAGATGAAGCAACTTGGTATACTCCTTTGAAATGCGTAGCTGAGTTTACCCAAAGGTCAGGAAAAATCCCAGAGGACAAAAATGCAGAAGGATCTGAAAACTGGGGCAGTAAGACTATGAACTGATAGATGAACTCAGATGCTCAGTGGAGTTGACTTAGGCACTTGAATTTTAACCTTTATGTAGGGACCAGAAACAAGGATTTGGCTCATATTAATTGAAAATAGAAGTTTCCACACAGATGGTCCTGCAAAGGGCTACAGTGGGAGCGGGGGGTGAAGTGGAAAACATGTACCTGTTAGCAGCACTGAATCATTGGATCTGCAGCAAACTGGATTTTTGCCTCATTGGAGGAAAGAATTCAGCTAAGGGACTTAAGGCAGAGTGAGAGACTGAGACAAGTTTTAGAGCAAGAGTGAGAGTTTATTAAAAAATTCTAGAGCAGGAATGAAAGGAAGTAAAGTACACTTGGAAGAGGGCCAAGCGGGCAACTTGAGAGATCCAAGTGCCCCATCTGACCCTTGACTTGGGTTTTTATACATTGGAAGGGTTCTGAGGTTTGCATTTCTTCTCCCTTGATTCTTCCCTTGGGGTGGACTGTTTGCATGCTCAGTGGCCTGCCAGCACTTGGGAGGGGCTGCATGTGCAGTGTGTTTACTGAAGTTGTGTGCATGCTCATCTGAGGCATTTTTCTCTTACCAGTCAAGTGTTCCCAGAGGAAGGTCATATTACCAGTTAAACTCTGCCATTTGGTCTGTTAGTGCACATGATTGAGCCCACTAGCCCACCTTCTGAGACCTTATGGGGAAGCTGCTGATCACCAGGAGTTTGCTGTCTGT